CAACAGTGGCATATCTCAAAAATATTCGATTTCTGAGTTTTTTATACAAAAATAAGTTCTTAAAAGATTTCTTTTTTTGCAAAAAAAAAAACTTTGCTCTAGTTTGATAATTGCCGTTTATACTACATTATAAAATAATGCTAAGTATAGTAAGAAGAATATATTAACCACAGAACTTTAAAATTCGGTTTTCTCAAATATACAAATTTTGAGTTATGTCAGAGTTGCAGCAAACAAGCGAAATGTGTATGCCTACTACCTCTTATGTCCCAATACATAACTACATATTATGCTTGTAAATAACTTGTCGTATAGTCGTGTAGTATAAGAGTCCTTGTGTTATAAGTTTTTTTTTCAAAATCAAGGTGTTAGAAAATAACTTAATGTTATACTTATTGTAGGAGCAAAATTAAAATCTTTCCAAAATGAATACAATATAAAAATTTTATATAAATTATATTTATGTACAAGTATATATATATTATGTACATATATGCCATATACAAAGTTGAAATATATAAATTTTTATTATAAAAAAAGCTAATACAATACAATAAAAATACAATAAATAAGAATATTGTTCAAATAATATTAAATTGGGAAAGTGTATGTGTGTTGTATTTGTAAAATATAAACATGAAGTTTTATAAAAAAAAAACTAAAATAAAAGGAAAAAAACAGAGAATAATAATATTTTAATCTAAAAATAAAAAAAATGTACAGGTGAGAGAGAGGTAAACTTATAAACTAAAAAAAAAAATAAAAACGATTTTCAATCAAAAATAAAACCCACACAAATTTAATATTATTATAATTTATAATGTCCGGATATTTAATTAAAATGTTTCTCAATCTTTAGGTTACCATTTAATGCAGTACTGAGTCGTACTATGCATGTATGTTTATTGTTTAATGACATAATAAGTATGACATTCACTTAGCCTTTGAATGAAATATGCGACATTTGTTAAATCTATCTAATTCACATTCCACTCACTTGCATGCGCATGACAGCATACCAGCATTAATTTACTAAAATTTAAAAAAAAAATACCAGTGAGCTAGAGAAAATAACAGCATATTAGAATATTTTCATTTTTTGCATTAGAATAGATTCTGATCTGTCAAAAAATTAGTTTCATGTTCGTTTTTTAGCTCAGAATCTTTTTGACGATATTGAATTCTCAATTTATTTTATGACGATCTCGGAAATATCCACAGGGTTAAAATAAACTACAATCCGATTTCAAAAAAAAGTTATCATGTATGGATTACCACACTTATAGAAGGGCCTAATATGTGACATATAGTAAGTTAACCTTACTTTGGATTATCTTATCTCTTAATTTCATAATAATTAATATTGATTTTTAAATCTTGGATAATTATCATTTAGTTAGTAGCTTTTTTACCAATACTTTTAGAATCGTCAAAAATAATAATGACGTAAGTACAATACATACAAGACAATAATATTATTGACGAACAAAACTATAAGATAGTATCTTTCCCATACAATCGTATAAATTTTTATTTGATGCCAATAACTTTTAAAAATTATACATAGAAATTTTATTTATATACAGCGTACCTATTTTACAATATTACGTTCATAATCTACATTGTCATTTTTTTAACTGATGTCGTTCTAATGTCAAAATAAATTTTTCATAAAATCAAAATATGACTGATATTTTTAAGTAAGTATTTTATGTAGAATTTTTCCACTATTTTAACATTTTAATGGCTATGTATTTCGTTTATAAATATATTTATATAAATTATGTACATAAGCGAATATTTGTTACTCGTATGTAAATACATAAGCACACGATACAGAATATAATTACCAATAAATTAAAAAAAAATTAAGCAAAAAAACTCAAATGTTTTTTTGCTGTAATGTAGAGTGAATGTTAGGATTAACCCGAGTTTTTTTGCTTCTCTTTGTTGAATTTTTTTTTTTTTTTAAATATCTTTAGCATGACCGATTTCATTATAACTACTATTGTACTTAACCCATCTATGTATGTATGTATAATGTTTGTACTTGTTCATAAAAGTATTAATGTCAAATTTAATATTTTGTATATTAAATTAGTTGTAAAATGAGATGTAGTAATTATAATGTTTATATTAACTAATATTCAAATATTGTATAAGCATGTACATATATATGTGGATCCGTAAACAATATACGGAATTTGTTATTTATTCCAATTTAGTATTAATAATTTAATTTAACATGCGATAAAAATTTTTACAGGTAAGGTAATAATTAATTTTATTTTTAATAAAATTTTTAAATAGAGATTATAGGAAATGATTGAATGAACATTTTTTTTTTTTTAATTCTTCTTGTTAAGTGCATATTCGTCTGAGCGTATGTTCAACTATTTATACGGATTTAATAGAGATGACACGATCCTATATTCGATTAATGGAATAAATCATATTATAAAAGAAATTGTAATTTTTACTCTACAATTACAATATAACTCTCAACTCGAAATACCGTATCTCGAGAACTTGCGCATAGTAAATTAGTGTAAGAGTATATAATTATAACAGAGTTATTTTTTTTGTTAATTGTTCTTGGTAATATTTTGGATGAAAGTTATTTAAACAATGAAATATACTTATACAATGTAATTCAAATTTAATTTTCATGTTATTGTTGGTCTTATAACAAATTGTTCGAAACTCTATAAGTGAATGTAGCATTATGATTGAAAACAGGTCTGTCCAAATGAATCATATATATATTATGTAAATTTAATTATATTCGACTCAGGTCCAGCTTATATACGTTCAATACTTAATTTGTTGACAGAGGATTTCAGTTTTAGAATATAAGTATACATTAATAATCAATATGATTTATAGAAACGGCAGCTTTCAATTGAAAAACACAAAACTATAAAATATAAATAATTAAACAATATAATTAAATAGAATTTTTTGATTAATAATTTATTTTAATAATCCAAATAAATTGTATACATATATATATATTTAATATTTATTTTGGTTTTAATATTTGTTCTATATTATTCTTTTTATAATATTTAAAGCATAAAAGAAATGCAGTTACTAGTGCGTCAAAATATTTTCATCTTAATTCTTCATTATCATGTCATTAATTATTATTATTTTTAATACTTTTATTTCTATTTATTATTAAATAGAAAATGACTGACTGAATATTTTTAATATTCTATATTCTACAACTGGGTTTTAAATCTGCTCTTTTTGTTTTACAAGAACAAATTATAATAATAATTGCCTTTCATATACAAAAGTATATATAATATAAATTATTTAGATGATAAGATATAATTATTTCTTTTTTTTATTAAATAAATTTATGTGCAAAATTATAAAGCTAATACACTTATTAATTAATTATTAGTATATGAATATCAATTTTGTTTTAAAATATTGCATTTAAAATTATTTTAGAGCTTTCAGAAATACTTTTAAATTATCAATATTAAATTAATCACACCATATTCTCTAAGACGTCAAATTTGAAGTACCATAAACATATACCAAATAATATTCAAAAAATTCCTGATTTTCATATTGTAAAAATTGCGTTAACTTAGGCAAGTTTAAGAGTTTCTGAAAAATAGAAAATTTTTGAATAATATTGAAAATTTAGGATCACTTCAAGTGATGCGCCTAAGAGAACATGTTTGATTGCTCCTTTTTTCTTCTAAATTATTATGAATTCAATATGAAATTTTTAACTTAAAAAACTAAAAATAAAAAAAAATAATCACATTTAATGAAAAATTTTATACTTTAAATGAAAATACTAATTATTGTATAATAATAATAAAAAAAATAGTTTTTGAGTTCTTTAATTGCATATTTGGCAGCGAATATAACAAAAAAAAACGGCAAAGAATATAATAATTAATTGAAACTAAAAAAAAGATAATAATTATAAAACAGAAAGTTTTTCATTAGTTAACTATGTTATAAATCTAATTTTACTGACTTTAATTAATTTTTTTTCTTAAAAATATAATAATAATTTCATAAAATAATTGTTCTTTTAAAAACTTATAATTAATTGAAAATTATATAGTGTCCATTAAATATTCAACACATTTTTCTTTTGTCATAATATTTAAAATAGTTTTTTGAACCTTTTTGTAAAAAAAATACAAAAATTTATTTCATAATTCAAATTTTTTATATTACAAGAAAAGCACAAAAAATAAAATTGTTATAATTATTGCATTATTATAAAATAAATTTAAATATAAGTAATATGAAATATAAGAGTTTAAATTTTAATTAATATATAAATTTAACCCTCTTTTTCGCCCATAATGTACCATTTTAATTATGCAAGATTTTATGGATGCATCAAATAAATTTACACTTTAAATATCAATTTAAAAAATAATTTTACAATAAAGGTGTATATCCAGTATACACAGGTACACAGGGGGAAAAATGAGTTGATTAAGAAAATAAATTTTGTAATTTTTGATTTTTAAATAAGTTTTGATTAATAAACTAGATTGCTACAAATTGCACACCATTATAATTATGATTAAACCTATATTTTTTGTTTTGAATAATTTTATAATATGAATTATGTATGTATTTCTTGTCGAGTATTACATTAAGAATATAAATTCTAATTCTAAATACGAAATCGGCTAATTTTCAAAAGTAACTTTTTTCTATGTTTGTTACATTACCTATTGATTTATCATTTAGTTAACAGGCCAAAATTCATTGTGAAAATCTAAAATTTCCAATTTTATTATTAACTATTAAAGTTACTTAAATAGTAAACCATAATTTGTTAATCGCATCACTTTAAGTGATTAATTGTTATTCAGAAAATTTGACTTAAATTCTATACTGAAAATTAAAATACTTTTCAATAAGATTCAATACACAATATCAAATTTAAATTTAAACTGATTTTAAAGTTTAAAGGTTTACAACATACTCGATTACACACTACAATTACTTATATATTAATATAAGCCTGAAATTTTGATAATATTATACAAAATTGCATCTAAATTTTTATACTAAGTTGTACATACATAAATTATTGTGAATATTTTATATAGCACATCAAATTTTAATTTTTATGCAAAATTTTTTCAAATTTTTAAATTTAATTTTTCTGCCTAATTTGCAGTTTATTTTAATTTCAAATTAATTCTTTTCATTTTATTGCAATTTCCAATTACATACTTTTCTTTTTCATTCTTATATAATAATGATATAATTTATTTTTTAACTAAACCACGTGATTTTGGATAAGCTGAAACTGGTTTTTTAATATTATTATTTGATCTGCCTTCTGGTGTTGATGAATTAATATTACGTGAATTAATTGTATTACTATTATTACCATATTGTTGGGAATTTGTATTTAAAATACGATCAAGTTTTGTTTGATTACCACCAGATGCATCAATAATATCAATATCATCATCTGTTTGCATTGCTTCAGCTAATACAGCTTGTAATGATGCAGAAATTTTTGGTCTACGATATTCATATGTTGTTCGGCATGGCATATCTAATTCATAATTAACTATATTTTCACCAAGATGACGATATGAATTTGAATTACTGCGTTTTGATTCTTGTAAACTATATTCGGACATTGGACGACGACGTGTTGAACATGATATTGGTCTTTTTAATGTAATATCATTTAATATTGTTGGTGAAATTTTCCATTCTTCTTCTTCTTCATCATATCTGGCTTGTGTGTATAAACGACTTTTAATTTCAACTGGTACAAAATTATCAATAATTAATAATAAACGTTTTAATTCTTTAACTAATTCATTTTGTGTTACTTCTAATTCTCTTAAATCATAATTATGTTCATTTTTGGTATCATTTAATTCTTGTTGTAATGCCAAATATTTAGCATAACATTTTGATAATTTTTTTGTTTTAATATCAACTTCTTGTTCTAATGTTGTTACAGTATCACGTATTTCTAATGTTGTTTCTTCTTGTAATTCAAGCTGTTGTTGTATTTCAACTTCACGTTTCTTACGTTCAGCAATTTCAACTAATTTCTTTTCTAATTCAATTTGACGTTCAGTATATGTATCCAATATATTTTTACCACCTTTAACTAATTGACTTTCTAATTCTTGTAATTGTACAGCCAATTGTGATGTTATATCACGTTCACGTTCTAATGCTTCAGTATCAATTGAAACAGTATTTTCAATATTATTATCATCTGGTTCAATATTTTCACAATTTTCAATTTCAATTTCATTTTTAACTTTATTACTTTTAACACGTTTAATACTATAGGTTTTTTCAGTTTTTTGTCTTTCAGATATTAATTTTCTTAAACGTTCAATCTCTTCCTGATATTCACGTAATTGAGCATCTTGTGGATCTTCATTTTTAATTGGTTTATTTTGTATGGTTTTAGCTCTTGATGCATAACGTAATGTTGTTAATGTTTCATTATAATTAAAACTTGATGGTCCAATATTTGCAATCATTATTGTTTTTGAATTACCACCCAATGAATCTTGTAATAGACGTGTTAATTTTGAATCACGATATGGTATGTGTGGTGAATTCTCACTTAATGCTGATATTACATTACCCAATGATGATAATGCTAAATTAATTTTTGATGCTTCCTTTAAACGTTCAGCTGTTGCACCAGTTTTATGTTGTCTTTCACTACCAGCCAAATCAATTAAATTTAATTTACCAACTTTAATTGTATTCGATTCTTCTTCACACATTTCAATTTTAATCATAAAGATTGCATGTGAACGTGAACTATGTTCATTCATATTTGTATAACCGACAGTACGATTTTTATTACCTTGATTCATAACATTTTTCATATCTTCAACACTTTGACATGAAACTGAATGTAAATTTGGTACATAGATTCCACCTTTTTCCTTTTCTCTTAATTCTAAATTTTTTTTCTTTGGTCTTAACAAATCTCTTAATTCTTCCATATAAATTTCTAAATATGATACAGCAACCAAAAAATTAGTATTTTGTGTACGATTTATATGTGACCAGATTTGTTCAAATGTTCTTGGTATTATACCAATATTTTCTGAACTATTAGCAATACCTTCCATTGTATGAGTTTTACCTGTACCAGTTTGACCATATGCAAATATACAACAATTAAAACCTTCCAAAACACTTGATACCAATGGTAACACAACTTCATCATAAATTTGTTTTTGTGTCGAATTAATGTCATAGACAGCATCATATGTAAATAATTTACGATTCTCTTTATTTGGATCAGTATTTATATTTGTTAGTTCAACAGCGCCACGCATCGGATATACACTAACAACATTATGATTTTCAATTTTTTCCTTTTCGTTCATAGGCCGACATCTTACAACCACCTGAACGCATTCGTTTGGTGTTTTTTGTAAACGATTTTTTGAAGGTTTTTCCATATTCGAATTTTTATGAACAACAGCTTTGGGATTCATTCCTAGAAAAACGTAAATAAAAATACGTTATCAAAAAAATTTTGCTTTCATTTCAAAACTAAAAATTTTAGAATTGTAAAAAAAAGATACAAGAGAAAAAAAAACCAAAATGCAACGCTTTTTTTTAATAAAAAACCAAAAAATAATGGAAAAATGTAAAAGAAATAAATTATTAAAATTAAATAGAAAATTAAATGAATAAAATGATAAATTTTAATTTTTTTTCTTTAAAATCAATTTTAATAATAAGCGTTTATTTAAATATACAATTTGTCCATAAAAAATTAGGTTTACTACCATTTTTTTAAAAAAATTTTCTTTTTAAAAATATTTAAGGAAATAAAAGCAAAATTTTTCATTTAACCAACACAATTTCTGTCTATGTTTAATTAACAGCATTTTATTTACGTATTCTTTTAAATTAATTTTAATAATTAAATTAAATCTTAACTATTGCAATAATGAATGTTTCCCATATAAGTATGATCAGCGCAAACTGCCCGATTTCTATTGTAAGTATGTAATATGCAATTATAGTGATTGTGCCAGATATTCAGCCGCCTTTAACGTTTTAAAATCAGTTTTTGTATTTAAGCTTTAATTATTTTATTGTATGTACATATTATATTTGTTATTATTGTATATCCTGTTTAAAAATTAATTTAAAATTAAAACTATTTCTGTATTTCTTATGTTTGTGTAAATATTTATGCTTTTCTTGTAATTAAGATTAAAAAAATTATTTAAGGACACATTTTTTTTTATACTGGACCATAGTATATTTAAATATACAATTATTTTATATAATTATTATTATTAATGTGAAATTATTTAGTTAATTTTGATAAAAATATATAAATACATTATATATATAAAATGAGTAAGTAAGTATTAGGTATATCTTTATTTTAAATATTGACATTCCAAAAAAAACAACACTCTTCAATCACTCTTCATCATTGTCACTGAGTAATCATTCAATCATTGTCACTGTGTGAAAAATGAGTTTGTTTGAAGTTCCGATTTACAATTGTTGCGATATTTCTCACAAAATAAACTAAATTTCTCAAAACAATTTAAAAATTCCTAAAATTATTCTCATTTTCAATAAACGTCAAAAACATACAACAAAATTCAGCAATTAGCGAATATTTTGTACTATTTCTAAACATACAGGAGTATTTAATTGGTATCGTTCACCTATTCTACTTTTGTTTACTAATTTATTGCCAAATCAATTTTAAATAAAAATACGGCATGTGCCTCCCATTACATACTTAGTAATTACAATTTTACAAATTTAACTGAAATTTTCAAATTCTTTAAAAAAAAAAATACCTGAATAAAATATCAAAATACCAATAAAAAATTTCAAACTTAAATACTATAAGATCCTTCAAAATTTTTTTAAATAACTTATTTTTAAATAAATTGCTTAATCTCTATATATATAAATTTTGGACTAAGCAGCATCTCTATATTTAAATTTAAATATCATAGCGTATTTTACGTCTATAATTTCGCAGAGAATTGTCACTTATACATATTGTAAATTGACAATGAAAGAAAATTCTCAGTTTAAGTGTGATAATTAAAATGTTAATTTGTTAGCGTTTCTGTCATGGTCATTGTGTACAAATTCAATAATCATGTTGAATTTTAAATAATAAAGTATATAAAAATATTTACAAATAAGCAGATTATATGAGAAAAATCAGAAAATTTCAAATAAAGGTGTAATAAAAAAAATACAGATACTTATATGGATTTGCAAATATGGCAGAAATTAATGAGAAAAATTGATTAAATAGAAATACTCTGCGAAATTTATTTATTTTTTAAAAAAATAATTCTATTTATGTATACTTGTATAATATTAACTGAAGATTATTAATTTGTGTTTACATCCTTTGTTTATTGTTAAATTAATAATATTCTTAGACATTAATTGTCAAAAACCATTTAAATGCAATGCAGTTTCTCAAACTGTTTTTGACAAGTGTTCGAGAATTTTAGTGTGGCAAATTCAAAAGATTTATTACGAGATTTATTTTGATATTATTAACTCATTAAAATCTTTCGCTATGTCTTTGCGTTTACTTGTAAGAAAGATGACACATTTGAAACAGTCTAATGTAGCACGACGTACTAAAATCAATTTTAAAAACAAAATGTATGAAATAGCACGTTTATTAAACAATCTTAAAAAAGAAGAAATCTTCAACAAAAAAAAAATACACTATAATACCATAAAAATTTAATTATGTCATAAAGATACAAAAATGACTCAATATTCTGTTAAATCATTCTAATAAAACAAAATTTATTTTAACATACAAAATTCTTAATAAATTAAGTACAAGTGTTTAATTTATAAAATCAAGAGAGCAATCACATATGATATCATTTTCTAATAAGTCAAATTCAATACTCATTGAATTCTGTTATCATTCAATGTCGTTATCGTAATTCTCTTTATATGAACATGAAAAGAAAATATTGCTAATAAACGTATCTATAATAATTTAAAAGGTAAAGAAACTCGTATTTTAAGCTTTATATTGTAACGTAATACTAAAAAAAACAATATTATCAAGGTAAGTTTATTAGTATATCTAACGTACAATTTGAGTGTATGTACACTATCATTTGTTAATAAGTTGTCTGTCAAAATTTAAGAGATAATTATTTACTTCTGATAAAGTATGGTAACACTTATTTATATTCATAAATTCTAGTAAACATACAGTTAATTCCTAAAATTAGGGAATTTAATTGTGACATTTAATAATATGTATTGATTATTTTGCAAATCATATTCATATTTGTGTTAAGTAGGGACGCATGAAAATTTTCATGTCGGACTTTCAATATAAGCACTTATCAGACTTTTAATTTGTGCATAATTATTCTATCTACTACATATAACTATTTTACATAACAGCCTTCAAATTTTCTGCTCTTTCTATTTATATTTTGCTGCTCTCTTTAGTCTTAAATTTTAATTCTACTCTCGTTTTTAATTAAATCTGGAATTAAATATTTTTCATTTACAATAAAAAAAAAAACAGAAACCAAATATTTTAAATTCATAATTAAAAATAGAAATTTTGTTTGTTCAAAAATAAAATTAACTGGTCTGGTATGTAAGTGAAAAGAAAACCGGTTAAATCTCACCAGTTACCACTGTGTATACCAGCTGAGTTCACCACTGCAAGCAAATTTTAATTTTTTTTTTTTGGCGATATAAGTGATCACTTATATTTATATGTATGCATATCTTTATATATGACATGTATAAAAATTATTGTTATATTAAATTAAAATTCCCATACACTTAACATTTACATATATTTTTTCATTTTTATAATATAAAAATATGCAGAATAAAGTAATTTTTACAAAATTTATAAAAAATAACAAAAACACACAAAGATTTGAAGCTGAACAGTAACAAAAAAAAAAAAATTAAACCTGATATTACTTATTATAAGTAGACATGAACGTTTGTATATACTTATACTGTTATACTATGTAAAAATGTACGAGTAATTAAGTCAGTCATACATACATAATATATGTATGTATGCATATATGTTTTTGCTATATTTTAACAACAGGTAATCACACTATGTGTAATTTATTTATTATAATTATGTATGGCAAAAGTAAGGTATATCGTATACGATATTGTGTTTATAATATGTATATATATATAATTTTGTTTTTGTATATTTTTATTTCATTATCTCATATTATGTATGTACATTTATTCCTTTATATATGTATGTTATACATATTGACATACAATATAACTATATTTATGCTGATTTTAAAAATCTTTGTAAAATGAGAAAACGTGAAAATAAAGTTTTTGTGTAAAAAAAAAAAGACCAAACGAGAAAAAAAAAATATTTTATATACACAGAAGAAATATAACCTTGATGGAATGCAAATTAAATATCAAACTTTAATTAATTATTATTATATTATTATAATATAATATTACATATTTATTTATATGTATGTAATATTATAAATATTCATACATATATTTTATTTCACATTACCTATACTCGTATATTTTATTTCAGATTTTCTTGAAAAATTATAATAAAAATGTCTTGAATATTTTAACTGCTTTTTCGTCACAATATTAGTAATTATGATTATTATAATATTATGTATTAGGTATAAGTATATAATAAATATGTATATAAGTATTTATTACACTTTTATATATATTAAAATACGTATTATTATTTTAGATTTGATTTTATAAATAACACGAATGAATTTATTAAGTTCAATTTTATTTAGAAAATTGTGAATTGTAATTATTTTGAATTGTGATTAATTTTATTTAATTTCAATTAATTTTAATTATTAATTTTATTTTACTTTCTCAATTTTATTAATTTTTAAAAATTTAATTTATTTTATTGATTTTATAAATTTCTTTTAATTTATATTAAACAATAATTTGTAATCCCGCGAATTTGTATTTTGGTATTTTTTATTCAATATTTATGAAATTATTATTTAAAAATTTTCGATTATTTATTTTTTTGAAATATTTAAGTAAAGATTTTATTTGTTTCTTTTTTTTTTTTTAAATTTTAAAAATTATTGGATAAGTAATTTCGATATTAATTAATGTTATAAATATTTAACTATTACGAGTACTTGTGTTACATTACATATTGTGAATGGTTTTGATGTGGTAATTTATTTATTTACATATTTTGTAATTAGCTAATACTCAATTTATTTTATTTATTTTGTGCTAAAATAAAAATTTTATTTAATTTATATTTAATGATTTTAGAAAAAATTCCACTAGAATTTGGTAAAACGTGTTTTATTTTTATGACAAATTTTTATTTTAAATTTTGCGATTTAGATTTATGGTAAGTGTAGAAAAGCAAAAAAACAAAATTATTTATTTTATTTAAATTATGCAAAAAACTTAAGTATAAATAAAATTTTTACATACTTATAGTTACTTATATATGTATGTATGTGTATAACAAGTAATCTAACTACATATATTTAAATTATTAATATTTTCCACCCACTTTTTTTTTTTAATTCATAGATCACTTCTTATGAATTTCAGATTTGAAATTTTTTTCTCAATAAAAATTTATAAAAGAAAAAAAAAACACAGAGAAAAAAAATTGAACTGATTTTTACGCATACGACAACGGAATTTTTTTTTATAACCAAAAAATTATTCGTCTGTCAAAATTTGATCGAATTTTTTTTTTTACTAAATTTGTACGTATATACACGTATTTCTATTCCATACAAATATATGTATATTTGTATGCCTGAATAAGTAGTACAATTTAGAATTAAAATCGCGATTTTATCCCGTTAAAAAAATATTTTTAAATTTTTTAGTAATAAAGTGTCAATATTATTTTCCCTTAATAAAATTTAGAAATTGTGATTTTTTTTTCAATAAAAAAAACGGACGGACAACGCACGGTTATATTTTATTTTTAAGTCACTTTCATTAAATAAACGAACGGTATACACGAGATATACGAAAAAAAAAAAACACTTTAATTACTTCTTGACGACGACAAAAAAAAAATTTTTAATTCCCTTTATAAAAAGCGACGACTCTTAAAACACGTATGACGCGAAAGTAACATTTCAACGTCTCAAACTACTCTAATCAAATTTCAATTGTCTTATAATAAAGCAACCTTATAGTAAAAAATTTTTTTTTCTTTTACATACATATATCGTAAGAGTGTATAATAAATGAATAAAATTATATAAAAATAGCATGGGGAAATTAACGACTACTCATACTATTCTACCTCTTTTTTTTTTTTAATAACACCTCAAACCTCACACAAATAAATATTTTTTACTTAAAATATATTTAGGGTTATGTTGTAAAGTATATATATAATATCGTTCTTAAAATATAATGTATTCATATAAATAAAAGAAAATTATATTTTTGTTTGTTCATATGCGATATATTTCCAAGATATTTTTACCACATATGCACTGATATTTATTGGAATGGATATATGAATAGGAAAATATACAAGAACAAAAAAAAAAAACTAATACACTAAAAATCAAAGAAAACATAAAAAAAAACAAGAATAATAAACATAATAAATTTAAAATTTTATACAGTTATATTGGCTATTTTATATTGTTGTATGACCCATACATATACACTTAATAATAATGCATAAAATATTGAAGATTTGGTAACCTTTAAACTATATTTCTTATAAATGAATATTTTAATTTGTTTTATGGCTTCCTTCTGTATGCATACATACATACAAACGTGTTTTACAATACTATTTAAATTGTCTTTTCTTCATACTACATTTTTTTCTTTTCATAAAAATTATTTTAAGAAAAGTAAATATATAAATAAATGAAATGAAATGAAACAAATAATTTATTATTTTGTTAAACGTCAATGAAATTCTCTGTTGTATGTCAAAATTTTTTTTTTTTTTGGTACAATTTACACATTTTTGTATGAGTAGAGTACTAAAAACAAGAAGCGTATTTTATATTTTTAGTTTATTCTTGTTTTTCTCTTTCTTTTAGCTTTTGATCGAGTTGGTATTTATTATTTCGTGTGTTCGTTTTTCACTCTCTATTTTGATTATGAAAAAAATTATATTAATTGCCTGAATATTGTGAGGTATATTTCTAAAAATATCTTTTGTAGTTAATCAATGTAACTATGTATGTACGTATACATGTTTATTAATATTTTATGATTGTGTATAAAAATACAAGATACATTTTATAAAAATATTAAAAATGTTAATAATTATTTAGTAAAAACATAAAAGAAAACAAAAAAAAATATATTAAGACAACAAAATAACATGCAATCATTATGTATAAAATAATTTTTTTCATGAAATAACATTAAAAGGTTGTCAAATGTTCAAAAATTTAACATTCAAAATTTGTAATTATGTATACAAACAAACTAGTGTCGCTAGTGAAATAATAAGTTTTTGTTTATACCAGCCGTCGGAAAGGCGTAGTTTGCGGTATACCCATCATTCTGCTTGCTAATATTCAATTGTGACTATTAAAATTTGAAAAATTTTTTTAAAAAAAAATTTTTAAGAACTCTATAATAGGTACACAAAATTCCATAGAAATTTTTTATTTGTCAAAACAAAACCATTAATAATGTCAGTTAAAAATATCATTTCTTCTTGTAAGTAGGTAATGTAAGAAATTCGAATGGTCCATACTCATACTTACATAGTATATATTTGCCCATAACCCACAAAAATTTGATGACGGTTAAATTTTATATAATAACGCCACTCAAAATAAGTACTTTGTTTGTATGATTACAAAAATTGTCTTCTGTATAAATATTACACTTTAAACTATTATATACTAAATGATATCACTGATCAATTTCGAGCACTGTTGAATAACGGTACTAAGTTTTTATTATTATCTAAATAAAAATTGTTATGAATATGGTAACCCTAAATTTTTTTTATCGGTTCTATATCAATTTCATTTTTTGTTTTTCTTATATTTTTTATATTTTATTTTCGATTGTACAAAATTTAACACTTCACAAACACACACAGTTTGATAGTTCTTTAATAATTTAAATTGTTCGAAGTAAAAATGAAAATAAAATTAAAAAAAAAAATTAGAAATTGGAAATAAAAAGAAAAACAAAAAAAAAACAAATGATATTTTTATCATTTTATTAATTGGACTCATTCAATAATGGTGAATGGGTGAATAGTGATATGTGGCATGGGAATTTTTGTCTCTTCAATATTATTTTGTTCTATTATTATGATAAACCACCGCCATGAAAGTCACTTAAAAATTTAAACATTTTTATTTACAAATGTATACAATGTTTATGCGCTCGAATTAATAAAGTATTCAATGATATCACAAATTTGGTTTTATTTGATCGCAAAGTATTTTATTATTTAAAATGAATATCACAGTATTGTTCTATCAAGTATGAGCCTACTATATTTTTAATAATTAATGAAATTGCTTCAAAAATTACATATGGAAGTGCTTTTTTCTACACACGAGAGTCCACATACATACGTATGTATGTAAATAAATATAATGTTTTTCGACCTATTAGGTAGTGGAGTGTTATTTAAATATTTATGTGTGAAATAGGTTCATACAAGAATTATGGGTACTCTATGCACGGCGTACAGCACGTATTTTAATACAATTCCCTTATTATTATTATTGTTATTATTTATTTATTGTGAATGAAATTTTTAACATGAAGGTGTGTGATAATTTTTTACTTTAAAATATAATGGACAATTCTTAAATTGGGTTAACAATAATTATAAATTGAATAAAATATAATAATAATAATTAAAAACAATAGATGATTTTTATAACCCAGTTACTTTTTGAAATAATGACAATTTTATTTAGAAAAATTTTATACCTAATAAAATAATAATAAAAAAAAATTAATAATTATTTTTGTTATGAGTATAACAGTTAACAGCTTTCTCATTAGGAATGTGTTATATACATAATTAATTTATAAGCTATTTTTTTAAAATACTCAAATACGGGGTCAAAATATTTATGAAAAAGAGAGATAGGGGGTGAAAGTGAAAGACAATATTTTACAAAACTGTATTTCTTTTTCTTCTCTCATTGCAACAAGACTTTTGATATTGAATTAGAAAAAAAAGCAATACATTTTGTTTATTAAAGTAAAATTTATATGTAGGTACTGAATGGAACATCTAAAGCGCCAAAGAGCTAAATTGAGAAAATCTGAGATCTAATGTAGTGAACTTGTTCAATAGAATGAATATTCCGTGTTTTAATTGTGTTCACTGGAGCAGATTTCTACTGTATACATATGTATATATTAACATAAATATTTGCTAGTTTGACACAAAAGCTTAAGATTTTTTAAATTTTCTAAAAGTTTCTCACGGTGATTGAATTCAAAACCAATTCGGCATTATATCACAATGATTAATCTAAATTACAGATGATATTTAGTTATTTACTTAGTTTTTATCAAATTTCTTTGACAAACATACATGCATGCACAATATTTTCATATCAATATTAAATAAAGAATGTACTGCAGTTTGGTATGTTTGACGATTGATTAACAATATTATTTTAATTTTAAAATTCTTTAAAAAACTTAAAATGAATTCTTCACTGTATGTGTAATTCGAGGTTTAAATGTAGAATTTTAATTTTTGATGCTTTTAGACATACTTTAGTAAATTTTGGAATTTTTAAGCTTTTCTGTTCTTGATTTCAATTGAAAAAATTGTGTTTCAATTAAAGAGATTATATAGAATAGTTCATGGTCGTTCAATTACTTTTAATTATTTCAAATTTAGAAATTTAGAATACACAACAATAATGTAATTAATTAAAATTTTAATTTTATTTAGTTATAGATAACCTAATTTAAAATAAAAAAAAAAATATTAGAAAAAAATTTGATTAAGTATGGAATGTGTATTAAGAAAATATGCTGTTGTTAATCACCTGAAAATTTTGTGAATCAATTTAAAATTTGTCATTTTTACAGATGTATATACATACATTTTATGTATGTATTAGTTAATATATATAGTCATAATTTACAATTCCAAGCATTCGTACGTAGAAAATAGAATTTTTTTACTCGTATAGGTCAAGAACTATTTTCGAAATATGTAGTATATGGAACCGAATCTGCTTCTTCTCATAAATAATTTACGTTAATATACTTATATGAAAGTAACATGACAGTATTCCTGTTTTAAACACAAATAAAATGTTTTTTGAAAAGAAAAGTTACTCCACCGAAAATTCTAAATACATATGTATGTATGTTCCAAAAAGAATAATTTGACAGTTTGCATTATTTGACAGTGACATAAGATTACCTCATTGGAGGTTACTGTCAAACATTGCAAACTATTTTATGCAAAACTGTGTATTCTACATTTTATTTCAAACATACTCTACATGCATGCGTACACAAGTATTTGCGACTTTACGTTACTAAACATTTTTTTTGCAGGAATTTACACTCTCCTCTCTTTATTTTTAATATTTTACGCATACAAGGCGTAAACATTCATTACCATATGCACATATTATGTATGAATAATTTTATTTCAAAAAAGTGATATTTTTCTTTTGTTTTATTTTTTAAATTGATATTGCAGTAAAATTGCTTAACTATTTGACATACTTACATACATATTACATTAACCTACATAAAGCATGTACATATTATGTTGTATATACATGCGTAAATATGTACATAAGTACATGTACGCATGTGCTTCAGTTTAACTTTAGTTGCCTAACAAATAGGCAAATGCGTGTATGTAAAGTATGTATCTATGGCCGTAAAAATATATGTACATATGTACACATAATTGTAATTTTTTCCTAAAAATCTATTAAAATTTCATGAATGACACATTTACAATATTTGTTTTTTCGTATTCTCATATTTTTTTAATTAAAAACATTTTATCTTGTTAAAACAAACATACATACATTTGAATAAACGAGTACTCGAATAAACCTACATATGTATGTACATATATACAAAATCAAATCATAAAATAAATTTTCACCTTTTAAACAATCGTCATATTTTTCGATAAGTATAATTTAAAATCGTTTAAATACCGCTATGCAGTTGTTATTTCAAAAATATACATATGTACAAAATTAGCACGAGACAATTACATTTTCAATGTATATGTAAGTGAAAAAGACAACATCAGGGGGCATAATACCAAAAAAATTACTCAGGTATGGCAAGTATCATAGCTATACTCACACATATACACAATAATGTAAACATGGAATTTAAATAATGTAAAAATATAAAATTTACTGGTAAAATTTTCAAAAATTTTTTAAGCATTTTTACGCACACGTAAACATGTTGTATTTTTAAAAGTTGACACAAATGCAAAGTAAAATAGATCAATGGCAATTTATGAGAATTTTACATTTTTACTGGTGTTTACATGAGTATAGAAAATAATTTTCAATGTAGTGAAATGGAAGATCGCAATTTTATATACAATCATACATGTGTTTACTGTAAAAATTTTTTGTATGGGTAAATTATTTGCTAAAAGAGGGTATGTGTGTGTAAAACAAAATCCAATCCAGCTTATAATGGAAAGAAAATAGAATAAATGAGTGTTGCCAGATCAATTTTATTTTTATTATAAATTTTATAATATTTAAAGATATGAAAATTTTTCATGTTAATTATTTAAAAAAAAAACAAACCAAAATGAATGCAACCGAACAACCGAATTTGCTTGTTTGCATAGACTAGTAGCTATAGTTTTAGCCACGTTTATTTACTTATTGAAAAAAATTAAGCAAAAATTAAATATTTTCTAATATAAATGCAGATAAATTACTAATTTAATCCTAATCTTAAAATTTTAAATTGAGAAATCGTCAAATATATTTGATTAAAATTATACATAATTCTTATTGTGTCTCATTTGCAAATAATTAATAGCATTATCGTTAGTCTGATATATTCCGAAAAAAATAGAATAAGCCATCAATAATCTCATTATTTTGACAAAACAAAAAAATAGCTATATATAAAATCTAAATAAATTAAAATATTTTAAAGAATAACTTTTAACAATACTATAAAGAACGTGATAATTTTGAATTACAAATTTTCATATTCTTCTATAATTCCTTTTATATACTGTTATTTATATATATATATATTTATATTTGTAACATAAAATATATCAAAATTAATTAAACCTCATCCTCAATTTTCCATGACATCGAAAAAATATTTTCTCAAAATTAGAACATTTTCAAAAATTATTTGGTTGAATACAAAAAAAAAAAAATGGAAAAATAAGGATATTGTCACTCATTTTCAATTACCGTTTCTTTAAAAGTATTTTTTGTTCTTTATTCTGCTATTTCGTCTTTTTTTACGTTTCTATTATAAAAATATCGGGTATATCACTATAAATGTATTTAAATAAAGATATAATAATAAAATAAAAGGAAATTGCTTTTATTTTAACAATTTTTTGCTTTTATATTTTTAATATTTTCCGAAAACATTATTATTTCATTTTCCATTTTCTTCACTATAAACAAAAAAAAAAAAATTTTATTTATTTAATGATGTTTTTGCTTTTTCCTCTTCTCAAACCCTGATTATCCTAGATTTTCCTTATTTTTTCATTATTATTTATACTTACATTTCATTTGAAATTCACGCACATTTCATATATACTTCAATAGTAGAATAAAATTACACTAGATATATATATAATTTTACAAAGATGGTAGGTAAGATGTATCAAGGAATTCTCTATTTATATAAGGTGATTGAATTTACAAAGTGTCAGAGAGAAAATTGAATCAAATAAAAAATTTCTGAGAGCGAAGTGATTGTAACAACTCGCTTTATAAAACATTTGCCTGCCTACAAGGATAGAAAGTGGAATATCGATATTCCATAAATTCAATTCGAAGAGTTTAATTGGTAGATTTTTTAAGTTTCGGACAACTCACGCCTGTGGCGGCTTTTATTTTAATTATTCTGTAGCTTAATATTCTTTTTAATACAATCAATCCATTTGTTCTGCGGTTGATATATGACTTAGTTAGTCTTAGTTGTTACGAGTATAATAAATAAGTGTGCACAACTGATATTAAATTAATTTGTTAGGAAACAAAGATATGACAAGATTAGTGATGTCCGCCGTAATATTGTACAAAGATCTTTGGCTATTTCAAGATTTAACTTTCAATATGGAAATGGATGGCATGTCCTGTAAGCTTTACATACATATATACCTTTTAACACTAATATCAAATATGATATAATAATTTTTTTTTGTTTTTTAAATTTTAATTTTAACTTACAAAATATCCTGAAGAATTTCTCTTAATATATATACGAGTATATAACGGGAACAGATGTGATTTCTTTAAAAGAATTTCGTCTTATGATGTCTCGTTCCTAAAAGTATAGAGAAAAGAGAGGAAAAAAATTAGAAGAATTTTAAAATAAAAAAAAAATTAAATTATAAAAATTTTTTTTCCTCTTTTTTTTTCATTTTATAGAAGAAAAATGTAGAAAATAAAGAAAAATGATGCTGAAAAATATTTTTTACTAAGTTTGAAGTTTTATGAAAAAAATCTATAAATATTTTTTATGAAATTATTTTCATCCTTAGATTTTTAATGTTCCCACACTTTCAAAAAATAAAAAAATTTTGTGTGATTTTTTTTTCATTAAAAAAGTTCTTAATTTTTATTGCTTTCTCTTACCTATTATATTGTAATTTATATTTATGCAGTAGTGGGAGAGAGAGTGTGGGTTGGGGGGGGGGGGGGGGACCGGTATAGGTTCGGCATAATGTAAATACAAAAAATTTTTTTAATTAACTTCAAACAATTAAAATGAATTTATTTGTACAACTAACACAGCATTTAAGAATTTTTTAGAAAATTTTCTATAAATGTTTGCTATTTTATCAAGCATTTGTCGAATGACGTATCCGTGAATTTTACGTAAGTGTTTTGTGAGTTGTGATATTTAATGCAAATAAAATATCGAAAGAGCATCTATGAAAGATATAAATAAGAATAGTTGTAGAGAAAAATTTATTATAAAAGTAGAGAGAAATTTATTATAATTAATTTAGTGCTTCCATATCGACAGTTTAAATGTTGCGTTGCGACAAATCCATCAGAATAGCAAAAATATCGCAGTCATTGAGAAAATGCAGGACTCAGGAAATTACTGCTGGATTAAGGATTTATATAGCTTTCAAGTCTACTTCTCCTATTACAATTAATTGTCATAATTTATTAGGTTAGATTATCGAATTTGACGTTTAAATGATAATTATGTGATATTATTTGAAAATTTGAAAATTTCATAATTTCATAATTAAACAAAATTTTTTGGAAAATCATTTTAATAATTTTTAGTTTTTCAAGTCAAAATTTAAAATGAAAAGAACTCTGGCATCACTTTTCAAATAATTTTCATTGGAAAATTGCTCAAATAAAATGCAAAACACATGCATACATACACAAAATACAATACAAAAAAAAAAAATTGAATCAAATTCTTCCAATATTTCAATTTTATTGATAAAAATTACTAACACTATTACACTTCTTACCCCTCATTTTCATAATAATGTCAATAAACTGAATTAATCAGCTGATTTTGACATTTTGTATGATTCCATCGGGAAATGTCAGAATGCATATGTAAACAAAAAAAAATTTCCGTTACAATGCCATTCAACTAAACAAAAAATTCAAAATTAATTTGGTTTAAAAAGTATAACAGAAACGAAAAGAAAGAAAAAAAAATTAATGAAAAGAACAAAATTTATTTTACACCAAAGTTATTTTGTAACCGTAATTCCCACAGTCACTGACTGCATGTGAATTTTTTTTTCTATTTTAACCATTTTTCTTCTGCTTCTTGCTTTTTCCAGTGTGCATACGAGTATACGACGATTTTTCAATTGTTTTCGGTTACCAATTTTTATGATCCTTTTAAGAATGGAAGCGTTTTAACGCTGTTGATTGAGTTTTTTTTTTGTTCTTTAAATAAAATTATGTATGTAGCAACTATATACAAGAAGACCAGAAAAAAATAAGGGGGTTTTCGAAAAAATGTGAATAGAAAATTTAAAAGAGAGAAAAAACAAAAGAAGAAAAATTAAAAAAATGTTTTTATTAATGATTTGATCTGATACCGAAATTAAGAGAGGAAGGAAGGAAGGATTGTTTTTTTTTTTTTAAATAAAAGTGTTATACAGTTTATAGTGTGTTTGTTTGAATGTTTTATATAAATTAAATATTAAACTCATGCTCTTTTTAAAAACGCAGACCAAAAATATTTCATTAGTTCGTGTCTATAATTTTGTATAATTATTATTGTACTCAGGAAATTTAGTCAACCACGAAATCTTCTTGCATTTTACTTGTGTTTCTTTTACTCTACTCTAAAATTTATTCATTTGGTTTCTTTAAAACAGTTACATTGTGTTAATTATATTTGGCTTTCCATGTTAAGTTGGTATGTATGTATATATAGGGATATTGAAGGGTTAACATAAAAAGATTCAAAAAAATTTTTTTAGATTCAAGAGATATACCAATAATATAATTAAAATGCAATGTTCTGTGGCTTGTTCTATTTATTTTGTTTTTAATTGTTATATTGTATATAAAAACATATTTTTCTTTTGGAAAATTTCACTTTTATTCATATGAAGAAACAGATTGTGCATCATTTGATGCTAAGTGAGCATAAATGAGATTTTGTTTTTTTTTCAAATTAAATGGATCAATAAATTTAGAATGAATTGAGCTGTATATAAATTTTTTAACCCTGAATATATATGAAGGTCATTTATAATGTGATATTTATTTTAGATTTTAGTTTATTTTAGTATGGTTGTACTCTTAATTTTTACTTTTGATATTTTCTATTTATAATTGCATATTTGTATGTACGTATTGATGCGGTTCTGTTTTATAAAAAAAAATATTCGATTGGAGCGAATTATTTGAAGTATAAATTATAAGGTAATAAGATATAGGAAATTTAAATAAACCCGAACCAGACAAGTTTGCAATTTTTACTCGGAACTTTTTGAAGAAAGCTTATTTAGAAAATGTACTTTTCGTTTTATGAAAAATCTATAAGCACGATTTGATTTAATAAAAATTTTTTCCATAGGAGACAGAGGATGTTTTGTGATTCCCATCCCTACCCACATTAGCAATACATCTAGGCCTCTGACAAATTGCAGTATAGTAGTGAAATTTCCATTAGGATCTCAAAGCCCCACAGTAGTAGGCGAGTCTCCGCCTTGCATTTTCATACAATAAGTGTTCCACTATTTCGTCCTTTTCCAAGCAGAGACGGCAGATTTCGCCTTCCGCCTTGCTCATTCTTTTCGAATAAACAATTGAAAATCAGTTTCCAGTGAGTATACACACTAATAGCCAAAATGAACATAATTTTATATGAATAAAAAAAAAATACTGGAAATCGAATATGAAGGCTGACATTATGAAAACAGGAGAAATTATTTATGCAATACAATCGTGGGTATATAAAAATTTTTAATTTATAGTACAAACATATGTATATGTATATATATATATATATGTATACATATTTATTTAGACCTCTAATTAACAAACTAATCATAATTATATTTTATATCTTTCGATTATTTTTAGAACTCCGATTCAAAGGTGAAAAAATTAGACCTATTATGTTAGAAAAATATAATTTTTTTACTAAATTATTAATAGCTCTTAAATCTTTTAGAACAAATGAATTTTACAATAAAAATTTTAATTGAAATGGAAATTTATATATATATATATACATATATATATATATAATAATTACGACATAAAATTTTTATTTGAATAAAGTCGTCAACAATATTGTGTTATACTAAAATAAATTTTTTTGCATTATGCAGAAAAAAAAATTATATGAAAGTTTTACCTTGCCTTCCATTTTTTTTAACTAGAATTTATTTATTGATATCTTTTATATTAAAATTCTCAGAATATTATTATTATCTTTTATACTATGTATGTACATTAAATATAGATAAAAATAAAAAATAATTATAAATCATTTTTGGTTATAATTTTATTGCTCTACCGATTACGTCACACACAGTACTTACACGTTATTTAATATTTAATTAAGATAATAAAATAATTTTTTTAATTAAATTTTTTATATTTTTTTCTAAGTGGATGAATTCTGCATTCTATTATAATTGTTCGCAAATTGATTTTGATTTTTTACACTAAGAATATTAAAATTTTAATAAAAATCAATTTCGTACCCAAAATTACTTTTCAGGGAAATGTGATACTATTGTACCAAATTTGACGTTTTCAAAAGCACATTGGTGTGGTGATACAACTTAAATGTGATACTTCCTCCTTGTGTAAATTCATTATATAAAAATATTCTTTTTATAAGGAATAAAATCCAAAATCCTTCTTGCATTATGTGGAATGAAAAAAAAAATTATTTTTTTTTTGTCAACTTTGCTACTATTATTTTATCGAACACGTAAACCAACTACATATTTTTGTTTGAAATTAATACGCTGTGTCTTTTACTACCTAAAAGTCAGAGTTTCTTTTTTTTGTTTATGACTTCAGAACAATTCGCTAAAGGAGGTTTGCACATATTTGAATTTTGAAAATACGTATAAATTTTTTTTAATTGGTTAGATTACAAGTCTCCAGTTGGGATGTTGCTAGTTTTTAAAAATTGATAATTTTACCATAACCTAAAATCCAAATCATAAAAAAATATTAAAGGTATGGTACAAAATGCTACATTAGATTATAAGAGAGCTGATGCTAGATGACATCGTAAATTGTGCCCAAAAAACATCCAGCAATCTTAAGAAGTTATAAGAAGCTTAATGTAAGTAGTATTCCGGTTGATGGCAACGTTTATCAGATTGATAAAAAGGTACTCTCAGTTCTGATCTGCTATTTTCATGAAATTTGCGGTGGTACTTTAAAATTTTTTGAATTTTCGCCACTGGTACAGGAATTGAAACGGTCAGGAATTGTTAAAAAAAAATTATCCGGAACGAATATTTTTTACTGTTCATTGAAGCTTTGTGGTTAAAAGGAAATAGCTTACAACACACTTGTTTACACGAAAACTTTTGTATTAATGGTTGATATACTAGAAAAATCGTCATGTAAACAGAAATAATCACGTTATATTCAACATTTTCTTCATCGCAGCAAACACCCTGAGCCTGAGTGTTTAAAATTACTTTTTAATTATTATATAGCAAAAGGCATTTAAAGATTTTATTACATTCACACACACACATTTTTTTTTTAATATAAAAGCGAACAAAACAATACAAAAAAATATTAATGTAAATCAAAAATGAAAATCTAAATTTTGCTTCTCCTAAATGT